TTAAAATGTTATCACAGTCTAAGCATCCTACAACTTCAACAATGCATTCATTCAACAATTTCTACATCACTGAATGGCTTCCCTTTCTTCCTGAGTATATAAGCTACATTATAAGTTGCTTCAGTGGCATTATTTCCAGGTCTTTTGCTACTTGTAAGAATTGTCTTTGCTTTTGCTTTTCACCTTTTAATTTCTGCAATACAACCTTTCACACCTCTCCCTCTAATTTAAAATATCTGTAGTCCTTATGAGTGTTATAATGCTGATGAGCACTGAATTTCTTTAATGTTGATATTACAGTATCACAAAGCAAGCAAATCATCTTATCTATATCAGAAACAAGATAATATTGCGATTCCCAATCCTCATTAAAAAATCTGTTTTCTGGCCAAATGTGGTGGTTCACACCTGTAATCCTAGCACTCTGGGAGGCCAAGGTGGGTGGATCGCTCAAAGTCAGGAGTTCGAAACCAGCCTGAGCAAGAGCAAGACTCTGTCTCTATGAAAATAGAAAGAAATTAATTGGCCAACTAAAAATACATAGAAAAAATTAGCCGGGCATGGTGGTGCATGCCTATAGTCCCAGCTACTCGGGAGGCTGAGGCAGCAGGACTGCTTGAGCCCAGGAGTCTGAAGTTGCTGTGAGCTAGGCTGACGCCACGGCACTCTAGCCTGGGCAACTGATCCAGACTCTGTCTCAAAAAAATCTGTTTTCTTCTTTCAGCATTCTCTTGGTCTTTTTTGATATGATGGGCTGTTAAGCAGACACAATTAAAAAGTACTGTCGAGCTGTGCAACTATTCACAAATTCCACTTCAAACAGAAACACACTGCACTGCTGTCAAAAGCTGATAACAGACTGGCATACTCAACTCCCATAAACTCTCACCTACCAGCCTGGTACTGCAGTGGCACCTATCAGGTGGGAGAAGTTAGAACTAAATCATCAATGTAGTAGCTGTCAATTTACCCCTTATAGCTTACTATTGTTCTAATTGTGCCAGTCTGGGAGGATTATTTCGTTGAAATTTATTTTACTCTTTGGTATTCTAAATATGTTCATTTAAAAAAATAAAAATATAAAAGACAAACAAAAATGTATTAATAAAAGGATTTGTTCTATAAAATTTGGATTCAGTCAAAGAGCTGCACTTAAGAACCTAGAAGGCCACATGTGGCCTTAAGTCTGCAGGTTCCCTACCCCAGGCTTAGATAATTTAAAAAAGGTGTAGGGGCCCCTCCATTTTCCTAGAGAACCCTGCACTTACTCTATTGTAGCAAGGAAGGTATGATCTACATTTCCTATTTGCCTAGCCATCTCTTGCACTAGGCTTTAATATCCATTACAGCAGAGACTGTATCTTGTTTACTACTGAGACCCTTCTGCCTAGAATACTACCTGGCATAAGATGAATACTCAAAAAACATACAGTAAATGAATGAACCCCAGATCACTCACCAGGTGTGTTATCTCACTCATTGCAAAAACAGGTTAATTCTCATGGGATTGTTTTTAAATTCAATTAAATAATGTATGTAAAGCACTTAGAAGAGTGGGTACACAGTAGGCATTTGATAGATAACAGTTCTTATAATTAAGGAGGACAAAACTTCACAAAACATCAAATCTACACATCTGGAGGTGAAGTGTGGCCAGAAGAAAATGCCATCTATAAAAATCTTAAAAGTCTTCATTCCTGATTAGAGCACCATAACTATAGTGTTCAAAAAATATTTCCTGAGTGGTAAGGCAAAGTAGTTACACCAAGTCCCAGAAACAAACAAATATCATCTCCCTGAACCCTGAATGAACTACAGCAGACCTTCCATAGGTAAGATCTTGGTTTGGTTAAATGGCTGCTTGGAGTACAATAAAGGGCAAAGTGTTTGACAGTGAAGTTTGTTTTATTACAAATACCAACAAATACGTGGTCCCCGCCCTAATCACAGAAAGTTTTGTGTGAAACCCCGATTAACATTTACTTTACAATAACTACAGAAACTGTAAGTTGTGAAAAAAACCAAAGATCATTTGATCTAATCTCACTTGATACAGAAATCTTCACTGCTACATATCACAGAGCATCAATTTTAGAGTCAAAGCTAGATTCAAATTCCAGTTCTGCCACTTCCTACCAAATTGCTACATGTCTGCAAAAATGTTTCAAAAGTGTAGTAGGCCCTCAGTAGCTATTGCTCCATCTGCTTTCCTTTCCAGATCTTTCACCATCCTGACTATCCTCCTAAGAATGCACTCAAGCTAGAAACATGGACCCTAGGACTGACCACAGCACTACAAGAGTGATCTGGCCAGCCCAAAGTCCAGCAGCACTATCACCTCTGAAACCCAGATCATGAAGGCAACTCAAACCAACAGGTGTCTACTGAGTACCTTCTAACAGCCAGCACTGCAGCTAATGACCAAATTGGTTTGCTTTTGTGCATTTTGCACTTGCTATAGTGCTAACACTATACAGTTGTCAAGGACAAAACCTAAATGTTTATTTAGATGGAGATGAGTCAGGAAGCAGAGCTTATTTTACTGGACTCTGGGTCAACAACCTCATTTAGTGGGCTCCCAAGGTAAGCACTTTGGTGAGAGAAGAATAAGAAATGTATACCGTTCTATACAAGCGGTATAGAGAGGACTGGAACCTTGGCTTACAGAGCTGTGGACTGCTCAGAGCTTATAGCAGGGTCAACAAACTTTTTCTATAAAAAGTCAGATAGTAAATATTTTAGGTTTTACATGCCATATCAGCTCTGTGGCAACTACTTGACTATGCTATTGTAGTATAAACGCAACCATAAACAATACCTATATGAATGAGTATGGCTGTGTTTCAATTAAATTTTATTTACAAAAGCAGGCAACAGGCCAGATTTGGTCCACAGGCTGTAGTTTAAACCCCGAGTTTAAAGCATTATTCCTGGCACATTGCTAGAACTCAATAAACATCAGGTGTATGACTCAATGTACAGCAGCGTAAGAACAAACTGTCATGCTAAAATCATTTCCACTTTTAAAAACTATTCTCTTTCCCCTGTCTTTTATTGTTAGTTATTACAGAGATGGTATTCAGGTGAGCACTCTGCCACTTAGCATATCATTTAGCCTTAGCCTGTGCAGCCAATGCAGCTTCTTTATACCACATAGCTTTCTTTGCCATGTTCCAACTAGTTAAGTATTCATGTCATTCTGCATCCCTTTTGTCTGATGCTATCACTGCATAACAGGCAATATGTGTTGAGTCCAATAATTATGTAACAAGCTTTCACTCAAGCTTTGTTTCTTGTAGCATCTCTCACTTCTGGCATGATTGGCTTCACTGATTTGAAACACCCAGTTCACACCAGAATTGCCAAGGCCTGTGCTTGCCAGGGACCTTGTGAATCTTCCCTGCTTGGGGTGCAGAGCCCTTCTGAGGGCCCCTAACACTGGAGTAGCTGAGGAGAACCCTAAGGCAAAAGCTGCTATGAGCTTCCATGTGGCTTCTGGAGGCTTCACTGGGGTACAGCACACTATATGCCCCAGGTGGAGGCACAGGAGGCCCCCACTGGCCATATGCCTCATGCTCCCACTCTCTATGACCACAACCATGTGCCCAGCATTCTCCCCATAGCCCGGCGAGGCCTGGCCTTTGGCATCCCCAGGGAAGCCCAGGACACCCTCAACTTTTTTTACAGAGGTACTAGATTACCAGAACACCCATTTAACTCTCTCCCAGTTCCTCACTCCTAGCCCTGTACCCAGCATTCACCAAGTTCTCCAGATAGGTAAAGTGGAGCCCAAAGCAGTTTGATACTTATGACATATACTGTGGATTTTGCTCACTCACACACGGTATTCCAAACTTTATCTAATGTATCTACCTAGACTGCATGCCAGCAGTTAAAAATTGCATTTCTCAGATTTCCTTGAGCTAGGTTTCAGAAGTCAGTTAGGATCTGCCAGTCAAACACATTTTCTTGAGTTGTATATAGGGAATGAAGTGGGGAAAGAGGCAGAGTTCAAGACATGGTTCTGGAGCCAGTAGCTTTATCGGTGTTATCCTGACTCAACAGGCAGTTTCCTGATGGTGGCAGGAACAGCAGCTCCCTTGGTGGCCCATTCATTGTGGGTCTGGAATTCATTCCTGGATATTCAACCTTATCTGTTTCTTTAGCCTTCCCAACAGTTCTACAAACCATATAACATCCTGTAATAAATTTCTTTCTGCTTGGTTAAAAGCATATTTTGTTTTCTACAAATGAACGCTGAGCGATAAACTTGACTAAGACCAAACAACTATGTCATGTGTCAACAATGGGAGTACATTTTGAGAAGTGTCCTAAGGCGATTTTGTTGTGCAAACACCAGAGTCTCCCTACACAAATTTAGATAATATAATAGATATGGCCATGTGACTTAAGTTCTAGTCTGTGGGATCCAAGTAAAATTATAGTATACAACTTTTGGGAAGTATGTTAAAAGGGTGCATGGTAGAAATGATGCCTTTTCTCTTAACCTTTTCTTTCTCCCACAGGCTGGAATACAGAGGGATAGTTAGATTTTAAATTGTTTTATATGAGAATATGGAGCTACTTGATGCAGATGGAGACTCAAGAAAGAATGACCCTACACCCCTGATGGTCATCTCAGCCCCGTCCTGCCTATGAGAGACAATTAAACTTTCCTCCTGTTTACACTGCGGTTACCCTGCATTTCTGTCACCCATCTTAACTGCTATATTATACAAGAAAGAAAAACTAAAAATAGCTTCTTTGTAACTATTTCTATTGTGTAATAATCATCAATCGAGTCATGAATGCAAAGAGCTTTTTAAAGAATGTGCTCAAACCACAATCTAATCCAAATACAAACAGAACATAAAACCATGTGTGAGTGTAGGCCAACAGAGTCAGAAAATCAAGCCTAATAAACAACACCAAAATTTATCAGTCAAGCTGAGCAAAGCAACAAAGGTAATTCTGTCAGAGGAAATGGATGATCACCTTACCTGATGGTGAATTCTAGCAGCTCCTGGGCTCCCTGAGGATCCAGGTGCTGAAGACTATAAACTCTTTCAAGGCTCTGCTGTAGGAACTGCTGGGAAGGATCCTCCTGAGGCGTGATGTTGGGAGAAACGGCTGATGACACCAGTTTTCTACCTGGTAACTAAGCAAACACAGTGGTATTATAGTACCATCAAGTTCTGTGGCTCAGCTTTTAGTTACACATACACACACAAAACAGAAAACCATGAGTCAAACAAAACAGGAAAAAAGGTTAGGAGAGGGTCTTCAAATAACCTTTCTCCCCTTCCCCAGCTATAGAGGGAGAGAAAGAAAGAGAAAATGCACACATGGTCTATCCCAATACAGCCTCAATGCCAGGAGAAAAATAAAAGAGAATGATATAATATTATTTTCTGTTGCCAACTGAAATAAATGGGCTAACCATAAGAATGGGACTAAAACTTAAGCTGTGTTACATTTATTTTTAAATTTCATCTTTCCTTTGATGGAAGAGTGATGATTATTCCCAAATAAGTTTATGTAGCATGCTATAAAAATGTTTTATATGAGGATAATTATAATTCTTTTTTTACTGTTAAAAGTAGTTATCTTGCCGGGCGAGGTGGCTCACGCCTGTAATCCTAGCACTCTGGGAGGCTAAGGCGGGAGGACTGCTCAAGGTCAGGAGTTCGAAACCAGCCTGAGCAAGAGCGAGACCTTGTCTCTACTAAAAATAGAAAGAAATTAATTGGCCAACTAAAAATACATAGAAAAAATTAGCCGGGCATGGTGGCGCATGCCTGTAGTCCCAGCTACTTGGGAGGCTGAGGCAGTAGGATCACTTGAGCCTAGGAGTTTGAGGTTGCTGTGAGCTAGGCTGATGGCACAGCACTCTAGCCCAGGCAAGAGAGTGAGACTCTGACTCAAAAAATAAATAAAAATAGTTATCTTTTAAGAAAGCGATGGAGAGGGGATAGCAAAGAGGATTTCATTTTTCACTTTTTTATCTTCTCTAAAGTTTAAATTTTCTAACCATATATATTATTCTAAAAAAAATAATTTGGAGTTACTCAATTAGGGATGAGCTAATATAGAGAGTTTAGAAGAATGCTGGGCACAAAGCATTCACTAAATGTTTGCTATTATTACTATGCTCCATTAAAAAATTTCTTCTTTCCATATATCTCTAGGTTTTAAAAATAATAAAAGTTTATTAAAAAATAAACACATTGAGAATCGTGGCTTTATGTAATTGTTAATATATAACAACTGATTCTCTGTTCTAAAATATTATCTATTGTTCCAGATTCCTTTTTCTTGCCATATACTACATAATCAATAACCAAAGGACACTAAAATGAACCTTCTAAAAGTATAAACCAAAGGGAGAGAGCTTAAGTGAGAAAGAGAATGAATGACTGAGTTTTCAAAGTATATAGCCTACTTTCTGCTATTGAATAACCAAAAATTACCAAAAATCAAAAAACCAGGCCGCAAGCAATGGCTCACACCTATAATCCTAGCACTTCGGGAGGCCAAGGCAAGAGGATTGCTTGAGCTCAGGAGTTTGAGACCAGCCTGAACAAGAGAGAGAGAGACCCCACCTCTAAAAAAAATAATAATAAAAATTAGCGGGTCATGATGGGTGTGCCTACAGTCCAGCTACTCTGAGGCTGAGGCAGGAGGATTGCTAGAGCCCAGGAGTTTGAGGTTGCCAGTGAGCTATGATGGTTCCACTGCACTCTAGCCAGGGGCAACAGAGTAAGACTCTGTCTCAAAAACAAACAAACAACACAAAACAAAACAAAAAACCCCCAAAGCAAGGACAAGAGATGTTTTCAACATACCCTCAAGGCAGGAACAAGATGAGAAAGACTGTCTCTGAGGTAGGCATAGTGCCTGAAGGTGTGATCTGAGAACAATGCTGGCATGGTTGGACAGGTTTTAGCAGCATTGAAAATAAGAACCAAAACTGCAATATCTGATAGGCCACTGGGTTAAGTAAACTTGGAAGTATAAAAGGTTGGGCCTGGCCAGAATCTGGTACCTCTTTTCCCACCCCCAAAATTCCAAACAAGGGACTATGGTTTTCTCTTTTTTTCTTAAGAACCCAGAGAAAAGCAATGGTTTTCTAATAATCAAAGAAAAGTAAATTCAAACAACAGATACATTCCCCTACTCCACCCACACCCCTAATTACCAATGGTTTTTAAAAATAATGTTGGATGTTGCTGAGAATACCAACAAATAGCAACTCTTGGTACATTCATTGCCTATTAAAGTACATACTGGCACAATCCCTTTCGATGATAATTTGGTACCAGGCAGTAAGAGTCCTGTGACTACTGAGTAATTCCACATCGCAAAATCTATTCTAAGTAAATAACTTAATATCACAGAATCATTTATAAAAGCAAAAACAGTAGTTCCTTCTTATGCAAGATGGATATGGTCCAAGACCTCAAGTGGATTCCTGAAACCACAGATAATTCCAAATCTGAATGCCATCAATCAGAACACATTTCTGTTCAGGTTTTCCATCCACATATTTAATGCCTTTTCCACCTTAACTAAAGGCACTTATAGAGCACTGTGGCTTTAAGCTTTGCAGCTTGAGGTGCACGAATTTCTTGTTCTTTCTTCACAATTTTACAGATAGATGTGTTTTTACTATAGATCCTAGCAATCTCAGTATATGATTTTTTTTTATCTTTTCTTATTGAGAACTTTCACCTTTTCACTCAAAGGAATCATTTACAGCTTCTCTTTTGTAGATCCAAAGTGCCAGCATCACCATCACTCTTGCGCTCTGAGACCATTTAAAAACTAAAATAAGGTGGCCGGGCGCAGTGGCTCCCGCCTGTAATCCTAGCACTCTGGGAGGCCTAGGCGGGCGGATTGCTCAAGGTCAGGAGTTCGAAACCAGCCTGAGCAAGAGCGAGACCCTGTCTCTACTATAAATAGAAAGAAATTAATTGGCCAACTAATATATATAGATAAAATTAGCCGGGCATGGTGGCGCATGCCTGTAGTCCCAGCTACTCGGGAGGCTGAGGCAGGAGGATTGCTTGAGCCCAGGAGTTTGAGGTTGCTGTGAGCTAGGCTGACGCCAGGGCACTCACTCTAGCCTAGGCAACAAAGTGAGACTCTGTCTAAAAAAAAAAAAAAAAACTAAAATAAGGTTTCCTTGAACACAAGCACTGTGATACCTCAGCAATCAATCTGATAACCCAGATGGTTACTAAGTAACTAATGAACAGGGAGTATATACAGTGTGAATGTGCTGGACAAGGGGATGATTCACATCTGAGTGGGATGGAGAGGAATGAAGCATGATTTTATCACACTTCTCAGAATAGCGTCCAAACTTATGAATTATTTCTAGAATATTCCATTTAGTATTTTCAGGCCATGGTTGACCTCAAGTAACTGAAATCGTGAAAGTGAAATCGCAGATAAGGGTAGACTAGTGTAATAAGAAATAAAAGAAGAAAATAATTTAACAACTATGTTTCACATACTTGATAGAATGCATCACACAATCATTAAAAATATTTGTAAAGTATTTAATATTGCTGCACGAGGATGACATGCAAACTTGTGAAGTATTCCATATTTTAAAATAGATAAATTAAAAAAATAATTTAATATTGTATTATAAGCATTTTCATTATAAAGTGAAAAAACAGGGTCTAAAACATATAGAAGTTATGATAGCAGCTATCTATTATCAAATATTTGTTGATGAAATAAACTATGTTAAAAAACAAAATAACAGTAGCTAAATTCCAACCTCGAGCTTTTTTAAAAATGAGAAAGAAATCCACCAAAATATTAACAGATTACTTTAGCTAGTAAGATTTTAGGTGTTAAATATAAAGTTTCTTCTTTCTACTCTTTGGATTTTCTGTGTATATTAATTTTATAACACATAGAATATCAGAAATTAAAAGATAAATATGCCTTCTAACAATCTTCCACATGTTTCCCTATGGCAGTGTCTAATACCTGCCTACCCTGTATTTATCCCTTCCTTTCTTAAAATATTCTTTGTTACTAATAACGAAGGAGGCTGAGGCAGGAGGATCCCTTGAGCCCAGGAGTTTGAGATTGCTGTGAGCTAGGCTGACGCCACGGCACTCACTCTAGCCTGGACTCTGTTTCAAAAAAAAAAAAAAGACATAAGAGAAAGAACACAGGCTTTAAAACCAGAGATGTCTTGCTCTGAATCCCAGGATCTGCTGCTTGGAGTTACTTAAACTCTGAGACTCAATTTGATCTGTAAAGTAGAAATAATACCTCCTTCCAGAGTTATTTAGAAGATCTGTGACAAAATGTATAAAGCCTTTACAGTTAGCTCCCCATATCCATGGGTTCTCCTTCCATGGATTCAACCAACTGTGGATAGAAAATATTAAAAAAAAGGGGGGGGGGATGGTTGCATCTCTGCTAAACATAGTTTTTCTTTTCCTGTCATTATTTCTTAAACAATATCATATAACAGCCATTTATATAATATTTACAATGTATTCGGTATTATATGTAATCTCAAAATAATTTAAAGTATATGGGAGAGAAGCTAGGTGCTGATAGCTGAGGCCTGTAATCCCAGCAATTCAACAGGGCTGAGGCTAGAGGATCACTTGACTTGAGGCCAAGAGTTGGAGACCACCCTGAGCAACACAGCAAGATCCTGTCTCCAAAGAAATGAAAAAATATTAGCTGGGCATGGTGGCATACAACTGTAGTCCCAGTTACTTGGGAGGCTGAGGCAGGAGGATTGCTTAAGCCCAGAAGTTAAAGGCTGCAGTGAGCTATAACTGCACCACTACACAACAGGCTGGGCAACAAAGTGAGAGTCTATTTCTAAAAAATATAAATAAATTATATGGAAAGATGTGCATAGGTTATATGCAATTAATACACCATTTGATATAAGGGACTTGAGCATCTGTGGATTTCAGTACCGAAGGAGGTCCTGGAACCAATCCCCAACAGATACTGAGGGAGAACTATAAACAGTAAGTACAATATAGTAAGTGTTAAATAAATGTCAAAAATAATTATTAGTATTAAATTCTTATAAAAACAAGTATGAAAGCTGAAAATAATAACCATCAGAGTCCCTCAAGGCATACTTTTTACTTAACGAATATGAAAAAAATAGAACTCGGACCATTCTAGCTACACGTAGAAAGAGAAGCCAAAGTTCCCTGCCAACACAACAGGGCCTGCACAAAGAATAGAGGATACAAGCTGGATCATCCATGTCCGGTTCAGCTGTGTCAAAAAATGGGTGGGTGCTCAGAAGCTCTGGCACCAAAGGAAGTACCAGGGTTGGATGCCGACTTCCCAGAAACTTCAAGCACCTGAAACAAAAAAATAAGAACCCACTTCAGTACATTTGTAAGTCCTTTAAAAAGTACTAGGAACTGGAATCAGAAAACCTGATTTGAAATTGGAAATTCTCAACCACACACATTTGCTAACTCTATGACTTCAGATATATCATCTGAAGTGAATTTAGTTAATTTATCTAAAAAATTGGTTATTATGAACATAAAAGAGCTGGTTATTTAACCAAAAGTGATTTCCATTTTTCTTACCAAGATAGCCCTGGTTTGGCTCAGGTATCAGGCAGGCAGCAAAGTGCTCAGAGAAGGCAGACCCAGCCCAAAGGCTGAACCACTAGTGGTCTGAACCAGTGGTCCCAAACCTTTTTGACACCAGGGACCAGTTTCACAAAAGACAGTTTCCCATGGATGGGGGTTGGGAAGGGGAGGTGGAGCTCAGGTGGTGATGTGCAGCCCTGTTTTCCTAACAGGCCATGGGCTGGTACCAGGCAGGTCTAAACCCATCCTGACAATCCCATTCGGATTTTCTAGTTACTGGTTTGCTGGTAAAGTAACCCAGTTCTAGTCAATGGAGCAAGAGAGGAAAAGTCTGCTGGGGAGCTTCTCAAGAATGTTTTTTTAACCAAATAAAAAGAGAAATGCACCTTACTTTGTGTCTTTAGATACTGTCTTATGAGGTAGCTATCTTGGAACTATGAGAAGAAAGCTAAGAGAACTTCCGAGAAATCAACCACAGCCCTAACCTGTTAACTAGTTGAATGACCAATCCTGAAACCAACCTTCTGAGTTCTTGTTATGTAAAAAAAATTAGACCTATTGTTTAAGATATTTTTAATCAGTCTGGGCAACTGTAATCCTAGCATTTTGGGAAGCCGAGGTGGGAGTATTACTTGAGGCCAGGAGTTCAAGACAGGCCTGAGCAAAGCGAGACCCCATTTCTACAATAAAACAGAAATATTAGCCAGGTATGGTGGCATGTACCCATAGTCCCAGCTACTCAGGAGGCTGAGGCTGAAGGACTGCTTGAGCCCAGGAGTTTGAGGTTGCTGTGAGCTATGATGACGCCACTGCACTCTAGCCCAGGTGACAGAGTGAGACTCTGTCTCAGAAAAAATAAAAAATAAAAATAAAAAAGATATTTTAAATCAGACTGTCTTTTATTTATAGGCAAAAGCATTCCAAGTGATATGCTCGGTAAAGTCCTGAAATCAGAGACATAGTCTGAAATTGTGTAGCCTTAGGCAGGTAAGTTTCTTCATCTGCAAAATAGGATTAAAAATAATTACGTCATTGAGGTGTTATAAGGATTAAATGAGATAACTAATATAATGGACTTAGTAAGGTACCTGCTACATATTAAGAACTCAATAAATAGCCGGGCGCGGTGGCTCACGCCTGTAATCCTAGCACTTTGGGAGGCTGAGGCGGGCGGATTGCTCAAGGTCAGGGGTCAACCAGCCTGAGCAAAGCAAGACCCCGTCTCTACCATAATAAAAGAAATTATTGGCCAACTAATATAATATATAAAATTAGCCGGGCATGTGGGCGCATGCTGTAGTCCCAGCTACTCGGGAGCTGAGGGCAGCAGGATTGCTTGAGCCCAGGAGTTTGAGGTTGCTGCGAGCTAGGCTGACGCCACGGCACTCACTCTAGCCTGGGCAACAAGCGAGACTCTGTCTCAAAAAAAAAAAAAAAAAAAAATTGAAAAAAAAAAGAAACTCAATAAATGTTAGCTATTATGACTACATGAAGGCCCTTTATAAGCAATAAGGAATTACATAAGCGAGATAATTACAGTCCCAGCTACTTGGGAGGCTGAGGCAGGAGGATCGCTTGAGCCCAGGAGTTTGAGGTTGCTGTGAGCTAGGCTGACGCCACGGCACTCACTCTAGCCTGGGCAACAAAAGTGAGACTCTGTCTCAAAAAAAAAAAAAAAAAAAAAAAAAAAGGAAGTATAAATCTTAATCTTGGTCCTCACTGAATTTATAATCTAGCTGAGGCAAAGATGATCAACACTCTAAGTTAGTGAGCTATCAAATGAAGGACATTCTACTTTCTACCCATCAAGGCAGAAGAGATCACTACCATCAAAAAAAGTATCACAAAGGATATGGGACTTCACCAGGAACTGGAGAACACACAGATTGGCAAAAGAGAGAGAAAACAAACACCATAAACAAATTCATGAATATAAGGGGCATGAAAGGCATCTCAACTAAAGCACTTGACCTTCTTAGAAAAGTATGCTCTTCCCAGTCTGCTTTTATTTGTGTGTGGAAAGAACTTCATTAGTTTTCTGGCCTCCCTCAGCCCTTTTACTCAACATGCCTCAGGGCACATTGTAAAGCAGGGGCTCCCAACCTATGGTGGGTTGTATAATTATTTCATTATATGTTACAATGTAATAATAATAATAGAAATAGAGTGCATAATAAATGTAATGTGTTGAATCATCCCGAAACCATCTTCCCCCCAACCCTGATCCATGTAAAACCTGTCTCATGAAAACGGTCCCTGGTGCCAAGAAAGTTGGGACTGCTGTTGTGATGCATTTTGGCCTCCAGGTTCTACTCCTTTATTTTTAGCTCTCATTCTCTTGAGAACTCAGATAGGGAACACAAGTGCTATGGTGTCCCCTGAGAGACACCTACATTTCTGGGCCTCTCTAAAACTAGACTTCAATTCTGGTTTATTAACATAGTTAATTTTTTACTATGTCATCTACCTCTCTGTGTATTTCCTACGTCTCTCCCTTACTGCTATTTGAAGGCCAGGTCTGAGCCAAATCCATTTTTAAATCTCCACAGCACCTAACATACAGTGATTGTGTTACAAAAAGTGCTCAAGTAATCATTACAAAATGAACTAATGCTATATAAACAGAGAAAATTATGTCCTTCAAAACCTTCATTTATGTATATATCTTCATCAATATCTTAAAAAAACACTACTGTGACTATACCTTTACTTTTTATCATACTTTTTTGGTTGTTCTTTTCTTTTTTTCTTTTCTTTTCAGAGATGGGGTCTCGCTCTGTCACCTAGGCTAGAGTACAGTGGTACAATCATAGCTCACTCAGCCTCCAACTACTGGAATGGAGTGATCCTCCTGCCTCAGACTCCTGAGTAGCTGGGACTACAGGCACATACCACAGCACCTGGCTAATTTATTTTTTATTTTTTATAGAGACAGGGTCTTGCTATGTTGTACAGGCTGGTGTTGAACTTCTGGCCTCAAGCGATCTTCTCGCCTCAGCCTCCCAAAGTGCTGAGATTACAGGTATAAACTGCCACACTCAGCCTTTTTTTGACATTTCTAAATAAAGTCACCATTCATTGGAAAAGGTGAAAAAAAATTAAGTGATAATTAGAATAGGTAACCTCAAAATCTTTTGGAGCACTATGTGGTTAAAGAGGTTTTTTTCCACACTTACCAAATAAAGAGGCCTTACATAAATATTCTGGGTGAACCAAATAACTACATATCTTATTTTAATGCTAGAAGAATGTTCTGTGAAGCATTTCATAACAACTCCTTTCACCAAGCAAAAGTAATCATTCCTTTTGTGTCTCCACAGGACTACAGTTACTGCTATAGGTGCTTATCCCACTACAATCACCACACTCCAAATGACTGAGAGCTCCTTGAAGACAGTCAATAAATGTATATGGAATGGAGCTGAACTGGATTGTAGAAACATAAAGAAATAGCAAAATAAAAAACCAGACATCAAAAATGTTACCTAGAGCAAGACTCTCCTGGTATTTTCAGTTTTTAATATATTTTCCAAGTATCTTATTTAACCCACAGTTTTTCTCTTAGTGACAAATTTTTTTGAAAATCAATAAACTAGACACAGTTGGGGTGGTCTCATCACATAAGCTCATTTAAACACGAGGAGCACACATTTTATATTACATGTATGCAAGTAGTCCTTCAAATAAAGGCTCATGAGTAGTATTAACAGCTTGATGATAGTAAAGCTAGAGATAACCAAGGGGAAAAAATGACTGTGATTTCCCAACTGTAGGTTAAGTGAAAGCCCTACCTCTAATCTCTATGATGATGGTTCGGATCCTGTACAAAAATGCAAAATAGACAAAGGAGTGATTAACATTATATAGGAGAAAGAGAAAAATCAAATGGACTCATCTCTGTACCTCTAACACCTATCATATAGCTTGGTGCATACTCAGCATACAGCAGGTTTGTAAAATTCACTTAGCATGGCTAAAGGTACACAAGATTTCCTAGGATAAACAAATTAATAAATAATCTAAAATGTGATATTCAGTTTATGAATCAGACTCCTGAGAGTTTAGTTAAGTTATATCAGATTTCAAAATTAAAGGTAAAATTGAGGGCCATACCCTTAACCTATGATGATTCACCAAATAACGTCAGCATTGTACATTTACCGCATTATAAGACTCAGTAAGTAAATAGGCAAAAAAGTCCTTACTTCCATATGGAGTCCCTGTCAGTAGGGTACTTGGCTAAATTTTTCAGCAGTTCCACCAATGCAAGATGAATCCCTTCCTTGGTTGAAACATTAGTACAGCATAAGAGTTCATGAAGAGCCTCTCTAATATCTCTGGATGAATCCTTAAAAAAAAAAAAACAACACAATACGTAATAATAGTAGTCACTGTTGGTTAGCAGACTCAGCCTCCACCTACCATCCCCTTCTATTTAGCCACCTTCCCATTTGGGTGGCCATGTAACAAAATATGTATAAGTTTGCCAGCTAAAATTCCTGAGAAAACTTCCATTTTATTGATAAATAAAGGACCAGATACAGTAGCTCTGCCCACTTTGCCTCTTTAACCTTCCTTCTTCTTCCTGTCTGTAACTCAGTCATGATGCTAAAGGTACATAAGCCTTCTTGCAGCTATGAAAAAGAACAGGCTAAGAATAGAGGCTAAGAGAGAGACAGGGGAACAGCTGGTTGGTGGAGCAGTCAGAATACTTAACATTTATCAATTAAGTTTGCTGTCTTATGTGGGAATGGTTTGTGTACCCCAAAACTATTACAATAGTAACGCCAAGGATCACTGATCATAGATCACCACAACAGATTTAATAACGAAAAACTTTGAAATATTGTGAGAATTACTAAAACGTGACACAGAGACACAAAGTGAGCACATGCTACTGGAAAAATGGCACCGACAGACTAGCTCAACCCAAGGTTGCAAAAAACCTTCAATTTGTAAAAACAACATCTGCAAAGCACAATAAATAAAGTTATGCCTGCACACATTAAATAAAGGAATAAGGAAAAGACTCAATATATCTGATATGAATTTCAAGAAGACTACAAGAATGAGAAATTTTGAAAAGAGGGAAATCAAAACCTCGCTCTTCTCCATAAAATCCAGCAATGGTTTCCCATAATACTTGGGATAAAATCCAAACATCTTACAATGGCCTACGAGGCTCTCTACCTATCCCCTATCCATCTCTCAAACCTTCATCTCATATCACATTTCTACTTCCTCACTACATTCCACTTAACTGGCCTTCTGACTCTCTGCTCTGCAAACACACCAAAGCTCATTTGTCCCCTACAGAGCCTTTCCACTAGCTGTTGCCCCTACCTGTAGCTCTTTCCCCCAATCAACACATGGCTGGCTTCTTTTTATCATTCAAGACTCAACTTGAACAGAATCTCAGAAAGGCTTTACTGACCACTTCATTTACAGTGCAATTTCTCACTCCTCCATTATACTGTTTACTTTCTACATAAGATTTATCACTATTCGAAATCATTTTGTTTGCTTATCTCTCTTCAGAATATAAGTTTCATGACAGCAGGAATCCTACCTTTTGTCACCACTATATTTCTAGTACGTAGACAATACTCATTGAATAATAAATGAATTTCTCTAGGCAGGGTAGTATCTTAGCATTAAAAAAAAGGAAATTCCAGGTGAAAGGGTCAGCTAGCTAGGCTCAAAGCAGTGAAATAGAGTGACACAGTAAACATAACAAAGCAGTGAGTAGCAAGGTAGAGTTCAGAGACAAAAAGTTTATGTAAGTAAAACTCTTAAACAGAATTACCAGTAAAGGAATTTATACTTATATAAATTATATATAAAAGTGCTCACAAATAAGCATACCTGTGGCTCTGTGAACAATTCTGTACATCAAAACATAGCTCAACCACTCAGCAAACATTTACTTAGTTTCTAATTGTGCCAGATATTGTAAAACACTGGGAATGAAAAAATGAAAAAAGCCAGGACCTCCCTTAAGAAGCTGAGTCTTGGCTGGGCATAGTGGCCCACACCTGTAATCCTAGCATTCTGGGAGGCCAAGGCAGGAGGACTGCTCGAGGTCAGGAGTTCCAGACCATCCTGAGCAAGAGCGAGACCCTGTCTCTACTAAAAATAGAAAGAAATTAGCTGGATAACTATAAATATATAGAAAAAATTAGCCAGGCATGGTGGCTCATGCCTGTAGTCCCAGCTACTTGGGAGGCTGAGGCAGAAGGATTGCTTGAGCCCAGTGGTTTGAGGTTGTTGTGAGCTAGGCTAACAACATGGCACTCTAGCCCGGGCACAGAGTGAAACTCTGTCTCAAAAAAAAAAAAAAAAAAAAGAAAAGAAAAGAAAAGCGCTGAGTCTTGTGACATAATTACTGAAAAATCCCAAAGCACTATATACAGAGTGATACAGGGTGTCATGGGAATACAAAGGAATAGCCTTTAGACCACCCAGGGGAGCAGTTAGGGAAGGCTTCCTGGATGTGCCGCCTAAATGCAGGCTGTGGGAATAAGCAGAAGTCTGCTAGGTGAAATGTGCAAGTTTTGTGGGCAGAGAAGAAAAATTACAGTGAAGGCAAAATGGTGAGGAAAAGCATAAAGGGTTGGGAAGTGAATGCAACATAAAGTTCAAGGTGAAGAATAGTGGAAAAGAAAGCCAAAAAGGAAAGGAGTGGCTAGACTATGAGACTACCCATGAAGAACAATAAACAAAATGTAAGCTTATCATATTAGGAAAAATTATAAAGATTTAAAATTCAGGGAAAATCTTATTAGAAGTGCTAAACAACTGTTAGAATGGTAGTGACTTTCAAAACCAAAGCACTCAATCTGTTTTCTAAAGTATGTTGCAGAAATCTGTAAGAAGTGTGTGAATAACTAAGCATCAAATTGCTATCCCTTTCACATCTGAACCCCATCTACCACAAATGGACAGGCCAAATCCCATTTATGAATACCTTGAAAAACTTCACTATTTTCAACTAAAATCCAGATACTTTAGAAGAATAATTCAAGAACCACATAGAGAGGTATAGCCTGGGAAGCGAATCTGTGTTCATATCCTGGCGCAGCCACTAACTTGCTCAGACAACTTACTTCTTCTCTATAAAACTACAGGTTTGAATGAATGCTCCCTAAGAGGCCTTCCTGCTATAATAGCCTATGATTCACTAGAAGAATGAAATCAAAAGTTGAAAAGAACTCTTCATTTTTGGCCCCGGCTTTATTTATAGCCACTTTCTCCCCTCTCCTACATCTTCATCTCTATGCTATCATTATAATAAACTCCTTTTAATTCCTTGAATATATCATATTTTCGCTTACCTCTGGATCTTTGGAAATTGCTCCCTCTGTTTGGTACCTTTACACCAGTGCCACTCCCTCCTTGAAAAAAGATGCCTCTTTAAGTCCTACTCCTCCTTTAAGTATCCACTATAGCATTCATTCCTTCTTCCCTATACTTCCAATCTTACTTCTGCCAATTCAGGTTAGATACTCTCTGTATCCCCAGGGCACCCTATCCTTTCTGATCAGAGCAAGACCAGCCTTATTCATACTTCTGTTTAACAGTCAGTTTCCTCCATCTTGGGGAAGGGGTGTGTTGGGAAGGCAGCACTGTTCTGCCTGACATACTGCTGTGTCACCAAAACCAAGCACAATAACTGATTTTAAAAGTAGGACAGCACTCAGTAGATAATTGATGAGGCAATGAGTGACAAACTGGCAACACTCACCTCTAGCACAGCCAGAACAGTGTCAAGCTGATCTTCTCGGAGGGTGATATTGTTAGAGATTTTTCTCATAGTATGTATGGACTGCAGACGTACTTCCTCAATTTCATCATTAAACATGTCAACCAGAAAATCAAGACACTTCTCAGCAAAAGAGGGTGAAGATTGGGCCAGCATGCAGAGAGCCTCCACAGCAGCAATACGGACCTCTAGAGAAAAGGGGACAAACAGAAGTGCACATCAGTGCACACAGTGGCACAAAACTGTAGGCCCTACTCCTCAGGAGGCTGAGGCAGGAGGATCAGTGGAGCCCAGGAGTTCAAGGCCAGCCTGGCCAACATAGTGAGACCTTGTCTCTTAAGAAAAAAAAAATTATAAAGGAAACAATTGTGCATCAAGTTAAGAGCCATGGAAAAAATCCAGGATAGAGTCTTTCTTCTTCAGGCTGTCTTTCATTCTCTATTCATCTCACTCTACAAACTCTCCCTGAGAGATCTCCATGCCACAGTTGTAAACACTTCACATTGATCTAAGAACATGAAGTTTGGTGTCACAAGGACAAAAGTTTAAGTCTGATTCTGCATACATGTGATCAAGTCACGTTTGTCTACATGAAGTGAATTTCTTGAAAACTATTAATAAGTTGTCTTACTTATCTCAATATTCTGACCACAGTATTTTTTAAAAGTCAGTTATTAAATATTATCATTATTATGAAGATTGAAATAGGCTAAATACGATTATTCTCATTTTAGAGATAAGATTCGGCAAAGTAAATTACCTTACCTCAAAGAGAGTCAGGGCAGAGATAAGGCTAGTATCTAGGTCTATGGATTCTAGGCTAGCATCATGTAGTAGTTTAGGAGACATTCTTTGGAATGATAGAAGTCTCAGGACAAATTATGAAGAGTGATCCCTCCACTAACTTGGAGAGTGATTTCAAATAAGTAACTTGATTTTCTAGCACCTCATTTTCTTACCTATTAAATGTGAGATAATATCCATTTCCTTATAGAGGTGTTAGGAGTAAATGAGATAATACACGTAAAGCACAAAGCACACTGCCTGGTATATGTTAAAAAGCTCGATCAGTATCAGCTAGGGCATAGGTATGGGTTCTCTAAGCGCCTTGAAAACTGAGGCATGTCTTTTATCCCTTTGCCTGATCAGAACATGTAACAATACAGCCACTGTAACCAGGAAGTCCTTCGTTCATTCACTAATAAATGTTTCCTGAACATGTACTATATGCCAGGCCCTGTACAAAGTGCTAGGATACAGAAATAAGAAATGAGTAAGATATAGACAATGCTCACACGACTTCCATACATGGCTGTTTTGTTCCACTAGTTCCCAAATGGTTCTCCAACAAAATACACAGTTTCAAAACAACACAATAAAACCTAAAGTTGTGGTTACCACTCACAAACACAATTTGTTCCTTATATAAGAAAGGTCTTATAGACACATTAAAAGTAGAGTTACTCAAGTGCAGTAAGCCTCAAGAAAAAAAAAAGGGGGGGGAGGGGAAGAAACGCCGAGCACAGTGGCTCATGCCTGTAATCCTAGCACCCTGGGAGGCCAAGGCGGATGGATTGTTTGAACTCAGGAGTTTGAGACCAGCCTGAGCAAGAGTGAGACCCCATCAAGAAGGAAAGAAAGAAGGAAAGAAAGAAGGAAAGGAAAAGGAAAAGGAAAAGGAGGAAGGAGGAAGGAAGAAGGAGGGAGGAGGGAGGAGAGAAGAAGAGAAGAAGAGAAGAGAAGAGAAGAGAAGAGAAGAGAAAGAGAAAAGAAAAAAAAAGAGAAAAGAAAGAGAAAAGAAGAGAAAGAGAGAAAAAAGAAGAAGAGAAAGAAGAGAAAAGGAAAAAAAGGTAGTTATACAGTAAACAGAGATGATTTGGATTTTCCTTGATAGTTATGAATTCCTCCTTTTCATAAGAAGGTTAGGGTTTTCTTCACTTCATATATCATAATAATATATATATTTTTAGATAGATATGGGGTTTTGCTATATATGAGGGCTGTATGGAAAGTATACATACAGCCATGTAATATGAAAATTTCATATTAACAATGGCTGGATACTTTCCGGACAGTCCTGTGTATTGCCCAGGTTGGTCTTGAACTCCTGGGCTCAAGAGATTCTCCCACCTCAGCATTTCGACTAGCTGCGACTACAGGTGCATGCCACCACACCCGGCTCACTTTACAATAAGATAATTTAAGTGCAAAATTGCTAATAATTATAAAGTAAGCTAGAGATGAACCCCAACATGTTAAGTGCTGACTCTTCTTCCTAGGGTTTTATTCATTACACCACGTTGACTTGTGTGTAACCTTTGCAAGTCCATCAAGGGAATCACAGAGGAACTTCTGATCAGCATGAGATAATCAGTGTGACCTGAGGTGATGCGATTCCAAGCAGAAACAAAGAAATGTGGTGCTTACCTCTGCCTGTACAGCCATGCTACAGGCAAGTACATGGCTTTACATTTTCCACTGAACTTTTTGGAATGTTGAAAATATGTCACAGACTCCTTAAGGGACCAGGGCAGAGAATCTGCTATACTAGAAAAACAAGACTGATCCTCCGTATCTGAAAATGTGTAATCAGAGCTGACTTAGCTACTTACTAGCTTTGAACTTAGTACTAAAGACACAAAGATGAACAAGAATAAGACTGCTTCCCAAAACTTATAGACAAGAATAGTTAACTGTATTACGAAGTGATGAGTGCTACCATGGAAAAACACAAGGAATGTAAGAAAATGCACAAGAGGCATATAGGCCAGTCAATGGGATCAGAGGTGGCTTTCTGGAACAAGTGATCCCTAAAATGATACCTGAAGGAGCTGCTAAATCAAAAGAAAAAGGCCTTTGTAGGCAGAGGAACTGTGTGTACAAAATCCCAAAAGGAAAGGAAACCATGGATGAATTAGGAGACTAAAAGTATGGGAGGTACTATACTAGAGTCTACAGCCAATGAAATAAAGGTCCATTTCATTCTGAGCAATGTGCCCCTAAAACTCAAATTTACCCAGAATTTTATAAATGTAAAACTATAAATTAGCAAGCTGTCATATCTGATACCTGGTTATGGTCTACTCACTGTCTAAACTGAAGTTAAATTAATTAAATCTTAGTGACAAGCTGAAAACCATATAACTAAATCATATAAACATTAATAGTGATAAAATTCAATTATAGAAATTAACAAAGCAAAATGTTACTAGAAACAAAATAAAATAGATTCAGTTACCCATCTTAGGGTAAAATGGGTTTTAATAACTGGACTTCTTTATTATCTAATACTATTTAAATTGTAATTCATGTTGCAAGTTCATAGAGAATAAAAAAGAAGAGGAAGCTTTAACCAATTTCTACACATAGAGAACATCTTAGAGCAAATTGGATAGGGTAATCCAATTCTTACCTACTGATAAAAAACTGTCTTTCAAAAATAATATTCTTGACCTTCTAAGAAGTAGTTCTACCCTGAGATGATTTTTTTTTTTTTTTTTTGAGACAGAGTCTCACTCTGTTGCCCAGACTAGAGTGAGTGCCATGGCGTCAGCCCAGCTCACAGCAACCTCAAACTCCTGGCCTCAAGCGATCCTCCTGCCTCAGCCTCCCAAGTAGCTGGGACTACAGGCATGCGCCACCATGCCCGGCTAATTTTTTGTATATATATTTTTAGTCGGTTAATTAATTTCTTTCTATTTTTAGTAGAGACGGGGTCTCGCTCAGGGTGGTTTCGAACTCCTGACCTCGAGCAATCCACCCGCCTTGGCCTCCCAGAGTGCTAGGATTACAGGGGTGAGCCACCGCGCCCGGCCCCTGAGATGATTTTTTAATAGGTATTTTTAAGACCTGGGTTCTAATCCTGTCTCTGATACAAATTTACTGTAAAATTTAGGCAATCAACATTGCTTCCCCAGCTCTGTTATTCTCACTGAAAATGCAGAGGTTGGAGTCAATCATCTCAAAGCACTGCCATTCTATCTATGTGAGACAGATAGCATCATATTACGGAAATCACAAGGGCTTTACAGGACTTGTATTACAAGATAGAATAACAAGGACCAGCTTTATCCACCCAGGACAAGAGACAAAATACACAAAACAACAGCATTCCAGACACTGGACATCAGGCAATAAAGGATAGCAATCTCTGAGAAATGGGAAATAGATGAGGTGAGTTCTATGATTATAGTGGTTTAGTGTTTAGGAGTTCCAGGTTCCAGAGTTGAGAAGACAAGAGCTGGGAGTCTAGTGAGGCCAATGTGGCTAGAGTTCACAGGGCAAATTACCAGAAAGGAAGGAATTGCACAGAGATAGAGAGCTATGAGATCTGCAGAGGGTCCCTCTCAGATCTTCAGCTGAGTTCTGATGTGTGAGGAAACTATCTGAGGCCAGGAAAAGAATCACTCAAAAGAATTAAAGGAAACAATCTCTAGCACTCACACAGGGTCTACACCATTGCAGTTTATTCAGGAGAGATTTTCTTCAGTAATGGAGAAAATAAGCCCTAAACCAAATGCTGCTCTGGTCATGTCGAGAAAAAGTTTAAAAATAAGACCTGAGCAAAATGTGTATCAGAACAAAGCTCAAGGATAGTTATAGGATTAAAATAATGTTCAGTATCCAAATAAAGTAAAATTCACAATTGGATATGTGGCATCCAGTTAAAAATTATCAGACATTGGATGGGCACAGTGGCTCACACCTGTTATCCAAGCACTTTGGGAGGTTGAGGCAGAAGGATTGCTTGAGGTCAAGACTTTCAGACCAGCCTGGACAACCTAGCAAGACCCTGTATTTACGAAAACATTTTTTTTTAAATTATCAGACATGCACAGAAGCAGAATAATATAATATAGGAGGAGAAAAATCAATCAAAACCAACCCAGGAATCAAATAAAGAGAAAATAAAAACTGTAAAAAAAAAGGGAGAGAAAATAAAAGCAAAAATAGAACATCAGTGAGCTGAAGAACAACTGGAGTCCCCAAAGGGATATGAAGCCAGAGAAATATTTAAGAAATAACAGCCAAGAATTTTTCAAATGTGACGAATACTATAAACTATTTGATCCAAGAAGTTTGTCTAACTCCAAGCATAAGAAACGTGAAGAGGCCAGGTGTGGTGGCTCATGCCTGTAATCCTAGCACTCTGGGAGGCCAAGGCGGGAGGAGTGATCGAGGTCAGAGTTCAAAACCAGCCTGAGCAAGAGCAAGACCCCCATCTCTACTATAAATAGAAAGAAATTAATTGACCAACTAAAAATATATATGCAAAAAAATTAGCCGGGCATGGTGGTGCATGCCTGTAGTCCCAGCTACTCGGGAGGCTGAGGCAGTAGGATCCCTTGACCCCAGCCCATTGAGGTTGCTGTGAGCTAGGCTGATGCCACAGCACTCACTCTAGCCTGGGAAACAAAGTGAGACTCTGTTTCAAAAAAGAAACATGAAGAAAACTACACTTAGACATATCATAATTAAATTGCTTAAAAACAGTGATAAGGAAAAAAAAAATTTTCTTTTGAGACAGAGTCTCGCTTTGTTGCCCACGCTAGAGTGAGTGCCGTGGCATCAGCCTAGCTCACAGCAACCTCAAACTCCTGGGCTCAAGCGATCCTCCTGCCTTAGCCTCCCAAGTAGCTGGGACTACAGGCATGCGCCACCACACCCGGCTAATTTTTTCTATATGTATAAGTTGGCCAACTAATTTCTTTCTATTTATAGTAGAGACAGGGTCTCGGTCTTGCTCAGGCTGGTTTCGAACTCCTGACCTCGAGCAATCTGCCCGCCTCAGCCTCTCAGAGTCCTAGGATTACAGGCCTGAGCCACCGTGCCCAGCCTAGGGAAAAATCTTAAAAGCAGCTTGAGGGAAAAAGACACACTATATACAGAAGATAAAAATGACAGCAGACTTCTCAACAGAAAACTATGAAACATCTTTAAAAGACTGGGGGGAAAATCTTACTAATCTAGAATTCTATTCCCACAAAAATGTCTTTCAAAAATGAAGGTAATGGCCCGGCGCTGTGGCTCACGCCTGTAATCCTAGCACTCTGGGAGGCCGAGGCAGGCAGATTGCTCGAAGTCAGGAGTTCGAAACCAGCCGGAGCAAGAGCAAGACCCTGTCTCTATTATAAATAGAAATTAATTGGCCAACTAACATATATATATTGAAAAAATTAGCCGGGCATGGTGGCACATGCCTGTAGTCCCAGCTACTCGGGGAGGCTGAGGCAGCAGGATTGCTTGAGCCCAGGAGTTTAAAGTTGCTGTGAGCTAGGCTGACACCATGGCACTCACTCTTGCCTGGGCAACAAGCAAGACTCTGTCAAAAAAAAAAAAAGAAAGAAAGTAAAATAAGGTCCTTATCAGTCATATAAAGCGTTTCCAGTCAGACATACTTAGGTTTAAATTTTGCTTCTGTCTCTTACTGGCTGAGTGACTAATACCAAGTTATTGTTATTATTAATAATATCAATTTTTACTACCAATTATTAAGTGCTTAATATGAATAAGGCATGTATTGCACCAAGTGGTCTATGTACATATAACCTCATTTAATTCTTACAACTCAGAAAAAGTTATTTTTATCACCGTTTTGTAAAAAGCTAGAATCTGAATATAGATTAACTGAACCCAAAGCCCATGCCCTTAACCACTATAGCATACCATCTGGGCTTCAACCTCTTCTGTTTGTAAAATATGTAAAATTATGATTTTTAAAAATCATAATAAGTATTTCACAGAGTGACTGTGAAGACTAAACAAGACAATGCATGTATATCACCCAGTACAACACATGACACATAGCAGTCACTCACCAAATGAAAACTATTTTTATTATGCAGTCATACTTACCATACATCTCATCTTCCAAACCATGAACAAAAGCTCCACAAGCTCCCGACTCAATCAAGTTCACAGCGCCAGTATCTACTTCTTCCTTGGGAGCATCATCTCCCCACTTCCTGCCGCTGGAAAACTCCCCTGAACTGTACAGTTCCTTGGCACGCTCGTGTGCAGTACGTTTCCTCTGGAGAGGAGAACAACAGTTACCAATTGCAAGAGGTTCATGAAGGGACATTAGGTGCACTCTGAGAACACAGGAAGGTAGGAAATAAAATTGCTCTCTGAGAGTTACGCTTTTTAAAAATTATTCAGGAGTTTAGGGCAAAGAAGTGCAAATTCAATTAAAAGTGAGACCGAAGACTCATAAGTTTGTAACAGCTGAGAGTAACCTAATTAAAGAGGATAAAGAAAGCTAAAGAATGTGTTGACCAGACAGGTGGTTTAGTTTGCCATGGCAATGAAATAAGAAAGGGAGCACGAGAGAAGCAAATAATGGCAGTGTCCCTTCAAACAATGATTTGGATAGACAACACATTGATTCTAGAAAACAACTGTTTTCAATCCCAGTAAAAGCAATCCTCTACTTAGTAACACGGCTCTACTTAAGCAAACAGTGTGCTCATCCAACAATCTTCTAGTAAATTTACTTTCTATACAGATTGTCTAAGGGGGAATATACTGGTTGGCAAAAGCAAATATCCAGTCCACTTGACAGTTATGGCTCTCATCATAAATGAATGAACTAGCAATCTGATTTATACATCAGCCTCTCATGAACTTTCACCGTAGTGTGAATCCATAACCTCATGGCTGCTCATCTAAGAGGCAATGATGAGACAGAGCACCTAAGCCTGCAAGAATGTGGGTCAGGTCCAGCATTAAAACCTGTACCTTGTGATATGTCTTAGAAACCCTTGCATTATCCACCCCTCCTCATTCACCACGATCATTTCCTTCTTTACACTTCTACCACATCACACACAAAGAACACTTAAAATCAAATGCCAACCTCAAATCAAGGCAATGCCCTGCAGGAAAGCCATATGGCAATGTTTCATGAAGCAGCGATGTCAACTCTATAACCACTCCTAAGAATTTATCTTATGAAATAACTCAAAAAAAAAGAAAAGAGCTAATATGCAAGATGATGATATCCTTTATGTGATTTATAATGGTGGAAAAATCAGGAGAATCTAAATGCCTAATATATTGAAAGGGCTAAAAAGTTATGGCATATCTACTGAAAAGAATATTATGTAATCTATAAAAATGCTATGTATAAAGCTGCAACATGAAAAAAAGCATGTGATATACTGGTAAATGTAACAAGTAGACTATAAAATTGTCTACATACAATAATGCAATGTTTAAAACATGCATAAGAAAAGGAGCTGGGAGAAATATACCAAAATGACCAAAGTCATTGCATTAGAGTAAGAGGAATATGGGTAAATTGTTCCCCCTTTTCCTCTATTTATAGAAAATTCTTTAACTCTTTATTATCACTTTTATAATTAAAAAATTGAGGTGCTGTGCTCACTTCGGCAGCACATATACTAAAATTGGAATGATACGAGAAGATGTGCATGGCCCCTGCGTAAGGATGACACGAAAATTCGTGAAGCGTTCCATACTTTTGAAGCTCTGGCACGGTAGGGCTGGGGTGGGGGGGATGGCAGAGGCAATATATGTAACCCTAACAATATCTGTACCCCCATAATATAATGAAATAAAAGAAAAAAATTGAGGTACTGACAGTACATATCATATTCTCAAACACATATCTGGTCCCAACAACCATGTTAGAAAACCATCACAGTCCAAGCTTAAGGGCCTTCTATAAGAGGCATTTTGTTAGTGTTTGGAGATCACTCTTCCATGAGAATGGCTATTGAAAAGAAGTCCTAAAATGTCATACTATTTCACAAAATAAGAACAGACCTTTGTAGTTTCTAACAAACAGAAAGTTAATCTTTCCTTTTTTGTAAAACATAACCTGCGCAAAGCATTTCATTATAATAATACAAAATTTAATGGCATAGCTTATATTATAATTTGTTTAATTTACTAAGATTTTAAATTAAAATGTAATCTAGTCACCCTACATTAATATAACAAATGCATGGGCTGCTAAATTAAATCAACACAACTTAGCATATAGCCACACTAATACTGGTTACAGAAACCCAGTTTAAACAATGAAGAATTCAATTTACCCTCAGATCTGACATCAGCTTCTTGTCAAGGGTCTGCTCCAAGAAATGAGAACTGACTTGCTCCATAGAGCCCTATAAAAGAAAAAACCCAGGGTAATTTTTATGATTTAAACATTATTCTAAAATTCAAAGTTTCCAGCCAACTTAAAATGATTCAAGACAACATTATTCATGATAGTAAAGATATCTATGGGTTCTGAATCATCAGGAAAATACCAAAATACAAGTAGCAGCTAACACCTAAATAGAGCTTTACTATGTGTCATGTACTATTCTAAGAGCTTTATACATATATTAACTCATTTAATCCTTACTATAACCCTACAAAGTAAAAACTATTATTAGTTTCACTTTATATATGGGGAAAGGATATATAAAAATATTAAGTAACACATTCAAGGTCACAAAGAGTGAACTGAAGAGCTGGGATATAAACCTGGTTCCAGATTCCGCTGCAACTCAACCACTATTCTCTACGCTCTCTCCACTTCTTTTCATTCATTCCATTCATGTGTTCATTCATTCACACATTCAATAAAACAAATGCTGCCAGATGTGATGGCTCACACCTGTAATCCTAGCACTTTGGGAAGCTGAGGCGGGAGGATTGGCTGAGGACAGGAGATTGAGATTAGCCTGGGCAACACAGTGAGACCCCATCTTTACAAAAAATTTTAAAAATTAGCTTGGTGTGGTGGTGCACACCTGTAGTCCCAGATACTTGAGAGGCTGAGGCAAGAGGATCACTTGAGGCCAGGAGCTTGAAGTTGCAGTGAGCTATGATGACACAGTTGCACTCTAGCCCAGGCAACAGAGCCAGATCCCTCAAGAGTTAAATAAAGAAATAAAAATATTTATTTAGCAACTATTCAATTATATGCCTACAGTTATCAGAACAAAAATAAAAAGATATCAACTCTATAGTCAATGATCTCACAGACTTATGAGGGAAACTGATAAGCAAAGACATAACTGCAGTATGTTATGAAATATTATAAGACACATCTATGAAGAATACTATGCAGGCCAGGCACGGTGGCTCACGCATGTAATCTTAGCAGTCTGGGAGGCCGAGGCGGGAGGATCACAAAAGGTCAGGAGTTCGAAACCAGCCTGAGCAAGAGCGAGACCCCGTCTCTACTATAAATAGAAAGAAATTAATTGGCCAACTAAAAATATATAGAAAAAATTAGCTGGGCACGGTGGCGCGTGTGTGTAGTCCCAGCTACTCGGGAGGCTGAGGTAGAAGGATCGCTTGAGCCCAGGAGTTAGGTGGACTTGACGTTACTCACTCTGATCTGGGAAAGAAAGTGAGACAGGACAGGACAGGACAGGACAGGACAGGAAAAAGGAAAAGACAGGAAAAAGGACAGGACAGGAAAAAGGACAGGAAAAAGGACAGGACAAGGACAGGAAAGGACAGGACAGGACAGGACAGGAGAGGAGAGGAGAGGACAGGACAGGACAGGACAGGACAGGACAGGACAGGACAGGACAGGAAAGGAAAGGAAAGGAAAGGAAAGGAAAGGAAAGGAAAGAAGCAACACTGATCCAGTGGGAAAAATCAGCGAAGGAACTCGTCTGGAAATAGTATATACTCAAATGGGAAAGCAGCACGCCCAGAAGACCACCACGCCCATCAGAAATGGACAGCAACCAAAATCAGACTACTTAAATGACAGAAGAAGAATTTCGAGCATGGATCATAAGAAAATTCAACAACTTGCAAGAAAAACTGGATAACCAACACAAAGAAAATGCAAAAAGATTCCAGGACCTGGAACAAAAATTCACTAAAGAAATCAAAACAATGAAGAAAAATCTAACCGAACTCCTGGAAATGAAGAATTAAATTCAGGGAACTACAAAACACAGTGGAAAGCCTCAAGAACAGGGTAGATCAAACAGAAGAAAGAATCTCAGAAATTGAAGATAACTTCTTGCAATTAAATAACTTAGTCACAGAGATAGAGCAGAGAAAAAAGAGAAAAGAGCAAAGCCTACAAGAGTTGTGGGATTATGTGAAGAAACCTAACATGAGAGTTATAGGTTTACCCGAAGGGGAAGAAGAAAACACTCAAAGGGTGGATAAGCTAGTTGAAGATATAATAGAGCAAAATTTCCCAGGCCTTGGTAAAAATCTCGATATGCAAGTTTAAGAAGCTCAGAGGACCCCTGGGAAATTCAATGCAACAGGAAGACTTCACGACATGCAGTCATCAGACAGACCAAAATATCTACCAAAGAGGCCATTCTACGAGCTGTAAGACGAAAGAAGCAAGTAACATACAAAGGAAAGCCCAATCCAATAACCACCAGGACTTCTCTACTGAAACTTTACAAGCAAGGAGAACTGGGGCCCGATTCTCACTGTTCTGAAACAGAATAATGTCCAGCCTAGAATCTTATTCCCTGCAAAACTAAGTTTTGTATATGAAGGAGAAACCAAGACATTCTCAGATAAGCAAAGCTGAGGGAATTCACCAAGACAAGACCAGCCCTTCAAAGAAGTACTCAAAACAGTGTACCCATGGATCAGCACAATCAACTCACGAATGTAAATCTACTCAAAAGCTAAAGATCAATCCAAGAAACCACAATGCTCAACAAAGGAGATAAACCAAAGCAACGAAAGGTCAACCCAACATAATGAACCAGAATCTGCACCCAGCACTAATCATATCTAAATGAAATGAAATGCCTTGACACTCCCCACTGAACGAGACATAGCTGGCGAGATGGATATAAAAAAATGGCTACTGCTGCCTCTCAGCGAACACACATCTAACCTGCAAGGATGCAGTTAGACTAAATGTTAAAGAGGTGGGTAACAATATTCATATATGTCAAAATAAAATGCCAAAAAGAAAGCGGATGCCATGGTGGTCTGATACAGAATAACTTAGTTGCTTTTTAATTCAACAAAGTATAAAAGACATAGAATAAGGTCTATAATATTAATGGTGATGGTAAGTTTAACAAGAAGACATAACAATCTAAAATAATTGCACTCCAACCTAAGTGACTCAGATTCCATAAACAGCAAACTCTACAATTGAACTAAACACAATGATAAACAACAACACCATAATAGTCGAGACTTTAACACCCACTACAGCACACGGACAGTCTCCCAAATAGAACACACACCACAAGAAATAATGGACTTAAACAGAAACTTTAGAACAAATGGGCCTCGACTACATTTACAGGGACATCTATCCCAAACCACTGAATATACGTTCTTCAGTCATGCTCCATGGTCATTCTTCTAAGATTGACATACTCCAGGCACAAAGCAACTCAACACAATTCAAAAACAGGAAAAATACCACGTCATCTCTTTCAGATCACAATGAATAAAAGTGAAATCAACCTAACAGGAAACTCTCACCTTTTACACAAGTCATGGAAACTAAACAACCTTCGCCTGAATATCCTCATAATGAGCGAAACTCCAACGATGGAGAATCAAAAGATTTGCTTGAATAAATACAAAGGAGACACAATTTATCAAAACCATGCTGGGGACACAGGCTAAGCGGTCCTAAGAGGAAAGTTCATTCCAAAGCCTAAGCTCCTCAAAAAAGATCACAAATAGACAACCTAATGAATCATCTCAAAGAGCTGGAAAAAGAAGAACAGATCGACCCCAAACCCAGCAGAAGAAGTGAAATCATTAAGATCAAATCAGAACTAAACGAAACTGACAACAGAGAAACCATACAGAAGATTAACAAAACAGAAAGTTGGTTCTTTGAAAAACAAAACAAAATTGACACACCTTTGGCTAGAAGAAGGAAAAGCAGAAAAGAAAAATCTCTAATAAGCTCCATCAGGAACAACAAAAAAGAAATTATAACGGATGCCACAGAGATACAAGATATATTCGTGAATACTACAAAAACCTCTATGCACACAAACTGGAAAATGTGGA